TGAGTAGGTAACCAGAGTTATGTGACAGAGTATCTTGTATGTTATGTATGTTATATGTTGCACTGCTATATTTCTATGTGATTTATGTTGTGCATGTTCTGAGTTCACAGAGTTAGGACCGGAAGGTCTACAGAGTTAGGACCAGAGGGTCCACAGAGTTAGGACCAGAGGGTCCACAGAGTTAGGGCAAGAGGGCCCACAGAGTTATAGCCTCGAGTGGCTAATATGTGTTAGAGTGGTATTTTGGGGAACTCACTAAGCTTCGTGCTTACAGTGTTATGTGATATGTGTTGTAGGTTTTTCTCAGGATCACAGGACGGCACCGGCTCGATTGTACACACCAGAGAAAGAGTTATGTTTTGAGGATCCTGGAGTATTATTTAATTGAATATGGAGTTATGTTTGTAACTTAAAGAGCAAATGAGATTTTAATAGAAGGTGACATGAGAATTTATATGAGTTTAAATGAAATTTTTAGTTTGAAAAATCACGGTGTTACAATTGCAATGAAGTTTTTTGGAGAGTTACAAAGGGGTACCATAAGTAATGTAGCTTCATAATTCTTGGTATTGAACCAGATTGTTAGTTTCATTTGACATTAGGCTAAATTTTAGATTGATCATGGACTATCCGTTGTTTTATCTTCAAATATGTCGAAGGTTGTTGGACAAAAAAGGTACAAGTTAATTTTAATCAAGTTTTAGAAATTCATTACGTCTTCGATCTAATATATGGTCTCTTGCAAATTCTTTAAATGTTTCTAAATCCACTATGCATAGACAAATCAAGGAAGGTGCACTTCAACCACACACAAACGCCATCAAGCCAACTCTTACTCATGAGAATAAGAGTGCAAGATTAGAATTTTGTTTATCTAAAGTTAACCGGTCATTATCAATTCATATTCCCACATTTCATGATATGTTTAATGTTGTCCATATTGATGAAAAATGGTTTTACATGTCAAAACCATCAAGACGTTACTACCTTGTTCCCAATGAAGATGAACCATTAAGAACATGTCAAAGCAAAAAGTTTATCACAAACGTTATGTTTCTAGCAGTTGTGGTAAGACCAATATTTGATGCATCCGGTGATGAAGTTTTCTCGGTAAAAATTGGTATCTACCCGTTTACAAGATTGGAACCTGCTAAGCGTTCAAGCAAAAACCGTTTTGCAGGAACGTGGAGACAAAGCCTATTTTATCGGTGACTAAATAAGTAAAAAGGGTCTTGTTGATAGAAAAAGTTTTGTCGGATATTGGAGCTAAATGGCCGCGAAGTCATTTCGGTCCCATATCTATCCAACAAGATAATGTCAAGCCTCATATTGATGTTAATAATAGCGAGTTTCTTGAAGCAACATCTCTAGATGAGTTTGATACCCGACTCAGTTTTAAGCATCCCCCTATGCCTATAGTTTGGATTTGAATGTGTTGGACCTTGGATTCTTTCGAGCAATCCAATCACATCAAGAACAAGAGGCTTTAGGTACAATTGATTAATTGGTTCATGTGGTTCAAACATCTTTTGAAAAAAATAAAATCTCAACAACTTAACAACGTATTTTTAACTCTACAAATGTGTATGGGGGAAATCATAAAGGTTCAAGGTGGCAACAACTATCAAATACCGCCATATTGGTAAAAGTATGTTGGAACGAGAAAGTAACTTACCATTCCAAATTGGATGTGATGAAAATTTGATAACGAAGCTCTATTACATTTAGTTGCCTAGTAAATTCAGTAACATTTTTTTTGTGTTTTACAATTAAGTGTTTGTAGTTTAACATTTTGTTATGAAAAAAAAACAGCGGAAAGAAACGTTTTATTGCATTGATTTACAATTGGCTATATAAACAACACGTCTTTTGATACATATATCAGGTTAAGAGGCATAAGGTTTCAAGAAAGGAAATAATATGTGTGAAAAATGCTTATTTGAGAGTGATTAATTTTTTTTATCTGCGACTAAACGAATTTAACCTGAATTTAACATTTTGCAATTTGGGAAGTGAAAAGCAACCATTCTAGTGTTAAAAAAATGCAAGACAATAAAAAGAAGAAAAAAAAAAGATGACTTGGCTTTGTATTTAATGTTCCATCATGTTTGGTTGGTTAAGTAATAATGAAGAGTATTCTGGTAAAAGTGTCATTTTCTTAGAAGTATGTTATTATTTTGGGACAAACCACAAATGAAAGATGAACTATAAATATGGGATGGAGAGAGTATAATATATTGTTGGTAACAGTTGGTTTTGCAGGATTATTAATCATGAATTATTATCATAATAAGATTGTGGGATTGAAAACCTTATGTGTCTCACCATGTTTTCTCAAACCTAACCCACTCAAACTATATGCATCACACGTAACCGGGCTAAAGCTGATGGAACTTGATTAGGATGCCGAGTGATTAAGAGACAACTTGCAATAGTGTTCAAGATTGTTAGGTCTTTACATTGTATTAATTATGACATCCTTAGAATGTTTTTATTTTGAATCATCTTTACTAAAGATATTTTAATAAAACAATACAGTTTCTTCAAAATGTTCTATTATACTGAGATTTTCCGCAAACAAAGATAATATGGCTTTGAAAGCGTAAAGAAAAAAAGTTATTTTATTTTATTTTATTTTATTTTATTTTATTAAGTTCTAAAAAATAGGAGATATCACATTGATACAATTGTCCTATATATAATGTATACATAAAAGGAATCTTATACCCATATACCAACATGTGATAGTCAGGCCCGACCCAATAAATGGACGAGTTGGGCTTAGCCCCAGGGCATCAAACTAAGGGGGCATAAATTAAGTCCATTGAGTTATTGTATGTATATTATTTTGGCCCAAAAATTTAGTCCAAGCCAAGAAGGCAGTCGACGTCTTGCAAGAGCGGGACTTCTTGAACGCCAAATAAGTGAAACCGAAGAACCTTGAGAATTGGAATCGCCAAATCGGGAATCGCCCCAAGAAAAACGTTAAAGATTGAGAGATCGAGAAGCCCTCTACAATCCGATTTCTACTCATTATTCTCATTCTATATCTCTCTAAACCTGTGTTGCACTTAATCGATCATCCAAAATTCTCAATAATCTCATAGTAATGTGATTTCAGATTTGCAAGTTGGAGTTCGATCTATGATTGTTCGATTTTCTTAACCAGTTAAGTGTTAACCTGAAGCAAAACTGGCAATGAAAGTAGAAATCCAGAAAGGTATTATTGGATTTTTTGACCTGATTTCTCTTGAACTGATTTCGATGAGTTTTATTTTTCTTAATCTTTTTCTAATTTGTTTCTAAGCCTGTTGCCATCAATCTTCACCTCTTAATCTGTTTTTGTGGACCTTGGTTTGTGTTGTGTCAGGAGTTTAATTTTTACCTGTTTGATTTCATTTATAGTAGATATCTCGATTTCTGATTTCTTTTCAACTGATTTGGTTCAGTTTGATTTGTATTAATATTAATTTCTCTTATGCCTGCAGCCTGATTTCTGACTTTTGTGGTTTTTTTTTCAGGAGTGTGGTTTGTATATGTTGGAGTTTGATTACAGTAGAATAGACCTGGGAGTTTGATCAACTTTAAAGGTTTGATTTCTCATTTGTTTGTATTCGAAATTTTTTGGTTTATGTCTGATTTATGAGATATGCTTCAGGTAAGACTTTGGCTTTCTGAGGTTTGCTTTAGTTACAATTTCTACTGATTTCGATTTTACTTTGTGTTTGAGCTTGAAATCTGCTTCCATGAATCTATCTTTTATTAATATGATTTTTGTGGTTTGTTTTAGGAGTTGGATTTTTTATTTTTGCATGTTGGAGTTTGATTACCGTAAAAAAGTGTCTTTCTCCTTTGCTTGAGCTTGGATTTTTCCCCTGTTTAAGCTCGAAATCTTGTATCTGATATTTGTGGTTTGTTTCAGGTAAATTTCTTACTACTGTGGTTTGCTTCTGCTATAAATTTCTAAAGTTCATTTCTTAACTTTTTTGTTCTTGTTTCTCGTTTCTGTGATGTGAATCAGGAGGCTGATTGAACTCTGATTTTTTTATTTGGTTTTTTGTTGGATGCTTCCAAATTAGTTATTTTAGTTGATGATGAACTAAAAAACATTGTTTAAATCTTGTGTCCAATTTTAAAAATGGTGAAGAATATGATTTTGAATGAATTAGTTTATTTATTAAATTACAAATTTTGCCACAAAACATACAAATGTGAAAGTCCTTTGACATATATTCAATAAATGGAGTATGCAAGAAAAATAGATCAGTTCCTCAATGTGTGGTTGCATATAAGTATTTGATGGTGTTGTTTTAGGTGATTTTTGTAGGTTTTTGTATGTATTCTTTGTTTGATTATAAAATTTATTGCACTTTTGATTTTTCAATTTTTTTATATATAAGGGCATAAAATTCTTAACTCGCCCCCGGGTAGTAAAAAACAATGGACCGGCCCTGATGATAGTAAAAAACCATTCTGCACTTTATTCCTTTGCATATCAACCTTGTACTACCTATCCGTTTCTACAATCTATCTCAATTCACATTTATCTTGCAAGGAAACAGTTAAAGTTACAATTTTACAACAAATTCATAAACGATCCTTCCATTAACAAGATTACACAGACATAGCACATTTCAACAATATATCTTTTATTAATTATAAAAAACCCAATTTTCTATATGTTGTTTCCTGTCATTTTATATATTTCAACTAATTTATCGACTAGTTTTACAAAACATTATTTTTTTTATCAGCTTGCAACTAGTTTTTTAGCTAGTCCGCCAAATATAACCTAATCAGCTTGAATTATAAAGATAAATATAATTATTAAAATATTAATGTAGTTCGTCAATTTGAAATCGTTAGTAATATAAAACATAATACCATATATTTGTAAGTTGTAATATTGAGCCATTGACCGATATGATGAAGCTATTTGCCTGAATATGGCTAGGACTACGAGTAAGGAGATCCCAACGTATTAGTATATATATATTGTTGGTTCAACACATTGTTTACATGAGATGAGATGAGATAATTGTATTTGTGGAAATACATTAAGTTGGTGTATGAAGTTACACAACAATAAGCAACCGAAACTCTTCTAATCTAACTATACTGTTTGTTTCTCAATGTATCACCGACCATTACCAACAACACGCTTACATATTATATTATATCTAAAAGGGACAACTTTTTTTATTTGCATATGCAACAAGGGGAACGGGACTTTATTGTTCCTCATGTTGAAGCTGAACATGAGGGCAAAGCCGGTCCGGTTCTCCTTTTGACCACAGGTGCCTCAAATCCCCTCTGTACTTCCCCAACGTCAGCAACGTACCTGCAAATTTCAGCTTTTATTACTTTCAATCATCTGTCAGTGTCAGTGTCAGTGTCAGTGTCAGTGTCAGTGTCAGTGTCCACCCTCTCTGACTTGACTCTGTATATGTTGGAGTCTATTATTTCATATTGGAATTTAGAAGCTTACCAACTGTGAAAGGAACAATGTAAAGCAAGGCAGGTTGACCATGGCCGTCCATCAAGTTCAGAGCAATGTAGGTTATTAGCAGACCTGAAAAGTATCAAAGCATATTGGATATTTAATATTTACATATCTTTTAAAATATGAATTTGATTATAATATCACAAGCTATAGCATTAGCATTAGCATACCTAATCCATAAGCAATCATCACCCATAAGAAGTATCCAGCTCGCAGGCTCTTGTTTGACAGCCAATCATACCTTAAATATAAAATAAACGAATAATGTTAAAACCTTTAAGTTATAACCTGTATCATGAATTTGCAATATTTCCTATTTCGCTTTCGTTCATCTCACAATTACCTATAACCCCTTTATTTTGCTAGGGTACAAGTGAGAGATCCATGATTCTGCAAATTGTATAAAAGTTTAATAAAATGAACTCCAATCGTTCAAACCTTAGAGAAAAGGCGACTAATAGCCCTGGCAATATGATGTCACCAAATCCAATGATGCTATATCCACCCCAAGGATCAAACATTCGTGGAATTTTCAGTAGCATCGGGATCCCATCTTCTCCACTCTTGTCGCCACGAGCCACCTTCATTCACAAAAAAAAAAAAAAATGTTATGTTATCGTGATTCCAAAAAAATAGAGTTGATAAAGATGATCAAAAGCCATAAAGAACCTCACCATTATCATCACGCTTTCATGGAACCACCATTTGGAAACAAACACCCAGAAAATATCATACATGAACGCACAACAGAGGAGAACCGTTCCCACCTAATTTCATAAAAAAAGTTTAAAAAGTAAGATAAATGGGAAAAGCGAAGTCGGTTGATAATGAAGTTAGACAAGTACCTTGAGGTTAGGCACTCGTATTATCTGGATTACTGTGATTATAAGCGCAATACCCTGATTTAAGAGGAAGAACGAATCCACTTATGTTATATATATGTTTCAATTGAATTTATAAGAAAGATAGACTAGAATGATCTTACAAGTATATCTTGACCTATCCAAGCAAAGGATATTCTGCGATAAACAGCCCATACAACAGCAAATACTACACAGAATGGAGAAACAGCCAGAGTCAAATACGACACACCTCCCAAAAATGGAACCTTCACGAATGTTTCTGCAGAATCTTCAAACCATTTGAAACTGCAATTGATGATGATGACACACATCACATGACTGATCTACCTTTTATATAAACTTTGGGTGAATAAAAGTAAGAAAAAATAAAAAGGGAAGTTGCATACCATGATAACAAGGCCACCAAACATGTTTGCAGACCCTGGAAAATGAGAAGAGCCAAAGCTTATACTCAATCAAAGCAATCAATAATGAAATTTTCTTAATTTGTAAAAAAAAAAAAACACACCTCGACCCCACCAATGGCAAATAGGACAACCAGAACCTCAATAAACCAGTATGACATCAACTTGTAAAGCATGACCAAGAAACAAGATGCAATCACAACAAACAGAACTGCAGAAGTTGTGTTAATGTCCACCACAGCACTTGATCTAGAAGACTCTGTATTCAAGTATTCATCAGAAGCATCCTGCCAAGATTCAACAACATTATTATTATTATTATTATTAATATTAAGTTTTAAGTCTCATCCACTCTTGTCAATATTTGACTATTTGCTCTTTGTAAATGATAAAAAGTCAAAACCTTTAATATTTTATCCTGTTCAATAGCTGCTTCTCGGGCACTCCATGCAGACCAGTAAGATGCACATAGTATGGTGCCAACAGCCATAAGCCACAAGAACACCTCAGCAACATCAACCAATGGGCGTTTTGGAGAGTATAATTGCACAGAAACTGAGAGAAAAATATTTATATCAATAATAGAGAAAAATAGCTAGACAACAAGAATATCCAAACTCAGTTGTTAACCATACTGTTTAATTTGTTCTGAAGACTCTCTTTCAAGCTTGCACCAGCATCTTGTGGAAGCATGACTGCAGGGATGCCAATATCCACATCAGTTTCATCTGCTTCACACACCATCTTGAAGAGTTCTGTAGAAGCGAATCATATGTTAGTTTAGTTTATATATAAATAGAAAAAAAAAAAAGGAATTTTAGATCCTGAAGATAGAATTAAGAGAAAAGGCATGTAAAAGAAAGTATAGTATAGTACGTGTCTGGTTGTTGATAATAAGGATTGCTGAAGCGCCTGCAGCTTCAGCAACATGTGCCTTGGCTGTAAAACTGCAGTTACCTCGGTGCACCAGGATAACTTCACCGGTAAGCTACAGACAATAACACCTCCGAATGCTGAGTTCTGATATAAGTAGCAAACTTGAAAAGCTTTTAATAACAATCTTCAATCTTCACATGTGAAGGGGGAGAAGGAGTATAAAAGATGAAAATTGAACCTTGTTTTTTGGTGTACTACAACAGTCAGGAGGGTCTGAAAGGGTAACTCTGCTTTTAGTAGCATCCTTCTCCTTTGATTCTAAAGTAGGCCCAAATCGGGCACCTACACCTACAAATTCTTCTTCTTCGGTATCATCAATCCAAGTTGGAACTTTCACCTGTTATGCAAAGAACAAACATCAAGTTTCTAACATGTCCTAAAACTACCTCTAAAAGATACGCTGAATTGGACAGAGAAATCCCAAATCATACTTCCCCAAACTTTTAAAACCCAAATCAACAAAAGCTCCACTTTCTACCCTGAATCATAGATCACAGGCTAACAGTTCTCATTTTTAGTCAACGAAATGCATTAGGGAAAAAAATGAAACGGCGATTGGAAAGATAAAATTAACAAAATTCCATTCATTGAACTGTTAAAAAAGGAATAATTAACTGATTCTTCAAACCACGTATCCTAGTCTATCAAACTGACAATAAACTAGATTCAATAACCAAGTTAGAATAATTATAAAAATAGTAAAGAAAAATATTGCAACCAAGATATAAAAATCTCATGAGCAAAATTAATAATACTGATAACTTAAATTTGAACTGAAATCGAAGTATACCAGAACGAAGTTGTTGTCACATCCAGGTCTTTTAGGTGCTATATCGTCCTCGTGTACAATATCTCCAGCGAAGACCAATGAAACACCGCAAATTAGGGAAAGTACAGCCACCTCAAGTACGACTCTGCTTCGCCTTGTTGCTATCTCCATGAAAGGATTTTTTATTTAGTTAGATATAGAAACCAGAGATCAGTAGAAGATGAGAATATGATATACGAACAGGTCAAAATTAGGGTTTTTTTCGCTTTGCTTTGTTCGTTATCGTGCTCAGATGATGGTGGAGATGAACATGGTACGAATTTAGAAATATATATACATACAGGAGGCGTGTATGTATATGTTTGATTTTTTTCACTTGCTTCCCCATTAGTTAGTAGGGAGCTTCTTTTCGTTGTTTCTTAGTCAAACGCGCAACAAATCGCGTGATCCACAAACACACTACCTAAAGTTGATTTTATTATGTCTCACATATTTATATTTTCTCTTAGATATTATTATATAAAAAAACATTAAAAAATTAAAAGGTTTTGAAAAAGACCACTCACTTTAAAGAAAAGCCAAAATAAATCATTCAACATTTAATTGATATTATTGGTATCAGGAAATTTTAAAATAAAAAAATATCATATATTAAATTCATTATTTTAATGAAAAATTAAAAGTCAATGGGAAAAAAATCAAAAAGAAAACGGGGGGAGAAGAAACATTGATAAGCAAAAGGCGAGGATTAAGGGGGATCTGTGATTGGAAGGGGGTGGTCGGCATGGGTAAAAATTAATGTTCTTTTATTATATTATTTGTTTTGTATAGATTGTATAGTACAAAACTAAAAATCTTTCTTACCTTATTTTTAATTTTGCAAGAAATTGAATTAATCTGAATTTAAAATTGAAAAGAATTTATAATAGCTATTATATATCTAATATGGTATCTCGTATAGAGGTAGGTTCCGTTGAAATTAAAAATAAAATAGAGATTTTGAGATTCAACATCAGCCATGTATTTCACATCTGCCATGTATTTCACATCTGCCGCTCTAACCCTTCGGCGTACCGACACGGTATGCCTGGTATAATCATAAATGATTATACAGTGTCGCTCGTTCCTTTCTCCTCCGCCACCATCCCCACCACCATAACCGCCACCGCCACCACCACTACCACCACCTTTGACACTAGTTGACCCCACCACAGTCACATCCGTTACTTATACCACCGACACCTCTGTCACCACCACCTCTTCTGTCATCAACTGTCATAATCATTTATGATTACTCAATCTGTAAACAAACATATATGTATAATCATTTATGATTAGACATATACGTATAAATATGTATAATCATATATGATTATACCTCTCTGCCATATAATCATTTATGATTAGGCATATGCTGTTGCTGCCGGTACGCTGGAGCATTAGAGCGACAAATGAGAAATATGTGACTGAGGTTGAATCTCAAGATCTCTACTTTTTTTTTAATCTCAAGTGAACCCTCCTCATCTGGTATATATATATATATATATATATATATATATATATATATATATATATATATATATATATATATATTAGATGTGTGCCCGCGCAAAGCGGCGGTGATCAATCGTTTTTTTTACGAATAATTTTTTAGGGGAAATAATGATTAGATTTTATTATTGGTTATTATGTAATAAAAAATTACCAGTTTTAAATAAAATATTTATGTTTACCTAATGTTTATATTACATATTTATACTATTGATGTAAATTAATTAATATTGGTGTTTAGTTTAAGAAATTTAAATTAATTTATACATATGAATTTAATACTTTAAAATTTTCATTTTTCTGCAAATTGAATTTTTTAATTACTTTCCTTAATTCAAGTCTTCAAACTTTTGGCAAGTATTAATGAATTATTTATGCATAATTGATTTGTACAAAGAGCTTTGTAACTTATACCTCTTAAAATTCAAGATATGACTAATATGTTTTATAATATAGTATAAGATATATAAAATAAAGACAGAATTACAAAAATGGTCATTGTGGTTGTAATATATATATATATATATATATATATATATATATATATATATATAATTTTGGTCCAAAAATATTTGATGGTACACCAATGATTTAAAGTTGGATCTTTGTATTGGTCTTGATCCCTCTTGTTAACAAACGTAAAAAACCAACGTTATCTAACATAAAGAAAAAAAGACATTTTCGTCTTTACACTTGTTTTTTTAAATACTAAACTAAATGAACCATTTTTGTAAAAAAACAAAAATCAATAAAGAGCCTTCCCTCTTATCATTAGCTAATACGGACACCACACCTCCCTGCAATTCATTATCCTCTCAACACCTCCATCTGTGTGAATCATTTTCTCCTCTTATATCACCGCCATTAACCACCATCGTTATCCAACACCCTTCCTATTCCTTAGTGTCGTTGTTGCCTTCCTTCTAGAGACGGTGGTTCTCCCACACTACCTCCCTCTTCCCCTCATAGTCATTGATGTCACCATGATACTTTAACACCTGAAACACGTGAAAGAAAATCAATTGAGAAAAATCTCTTGCAAAGTTGAGTTTGCCTGTAAAAAAAGTGTAACACCTGTTTCTAGGATGGGTCGGTTGAGGACATAGAGAGATCAAATGTAAGGTTTTTAGGGAAAATCTAGTACCATGACATGGTGAATGGAGCACCACGACGTCGCATGCAAAATATATGAATGCGCGTCTTGGATGGTCGCCACGACATGGTAGCTATTGCAACCCAAGCCCATGATTTTTAGGGTTTCCTACATATTTAAGCACATAATCTCAAGGATTAGGGCATCCCCTTCAGCCTCCAACCATTCTCCAACGAAACCTTAGCCTCCATGGTTGTTTAAAAGCTTGTTTGCTTGATTTAAGACCTTATTCTTAGATTTTAGTGGAGCTCGAGGAAGGAGAAAGATCATTTTGGTGTAAGGGAGCGAGAGACTAGCTTGGAATCATCATCTCCTTCATATTTCTGAGTGGTTGGAGGTATAAAGCTGTAACATCTGTTTCACAGGTATTCCTTTTTACATTAAGTAATAATTTCTTTTGCAAAATGGTCCTACGTAGGGTGTAGGATTGCTTCCTACGTAAGGTGTATGAGAGATTAAGGACACGGGGGCTTAAAACCCTACGCAGGGCGTACCAACCCTACGTAGAGCATAGGTGTGTAGTATCCAAACCCTAAGTTTTTAGGGTTATGACCATATTTAAGGACCTTAACTCCCTTGAGGCCTCTCTAACCTCAACCTCCACTCTCCCAAACAGTCATTTCGAACCTTAATCCCTTGTGAGCTTATTTTGAGCCTTTTTAGTGTTTTTGGTGCATTTTGAAGAAGGAGAAGTCAACCATTGTGGATCGGTGTGGCTCAAGCTTGAAGATCTAGATCTTTCATCTCATTTGCCAACTTCAATGTAACATCCTGTTTCCTTCCGTTTCTGATCCATGGATCGTAAGTCGATTGTGTAAGGTTTTGGGCCTTAAGGAGGCAAAGTTTAGTCCTTATGGAAGAAGGTAATGATAGTTAAGTTATTTTTATCCTTGAATTGTGTTTTGGGCCGAAGGGTAGAAAAAGAAAAGCCATAGGCCGGGTTCTTGAATGAAATATGGATTTTTGTTCGAGAGGTTTTTAGTCCAAGATATTTAGATAATATTGTATAGCTCTTCAAAACCTTTCTGTGGATATAAAGAACATCGCAAACGGAGTTGGAATTAAGAAGTTACGGCCGTTTGAAGTTAGGACGATTTTTGGGTTAGCCGTGTACGCAGGGCGTACGGGGAGTACGCAGGGAGTACTAGGGCATCCCTAGTACGCTGGGTGTACCATAAGTATGCAGGGCGTACACAATCAGTACCCAAACCCTATTTTCGTGGTTTGAGCCCTATTTAAGCTACTTAACTTCCCAAAACCCATTCCATTCTCAGCCTCCACCTCTCCAGCACCCTCTCTTGAAACCCTAACCCTAGATTGAGCCTTTGGAGCAAAAATAAGGTGTTTTTAAGTGCTTTGGAGTGTTCTTGGTGCACCTTGGAGAAGAAGGAACTCACTGAAGAAGTGTTGGTTGCATTGGAGCTTGTAGATCCATACTTTGTTCACCTTGATCTTTCTTCTAGAGGTATAAAGTTTGAATCTTGATGATGAAGTTGTTAGATCTAGCTAGTTTTTTGTGTTATGAGCTTTTGGTCACTTTAAGTGCATAAAGTTTAGATCTTGAAAGTTTGTGACCTTGTTATGGATAAAGTGGAAACTTTATCCATCTAAACATCATTTTGATTCAGATTTGAAGGTTGGAGACTTGAACTTAATGGATTAAGTTGAAAAAGATGCACTTTTGGGTCCCTTTGAGACTTAAAGACTAGATCTTGTTTGTTGGGACCATTCTAATGGATAAAGTTGGAAACTTTATCCATTACGGAGCTATTATGAACCATAAAAATATGTTCTTGAGTGTTGTATGTAACCTATCCATGTGTTAGATGGTCTTATTGGTTTAAGAACTTAGGGTTTGGACATTAAGCACTTTATAGCCATGCAAAGTCGTAAAGTTGGAAACTTTATGACTTAGGACATCATTTTGAGCTTGGATCTGAGTTTTGAATGTAAAGGCTTAATGGAATAAGCTCTTAATGGAGTTTTTCATATTGGGTTGTGTATGTTGGGCGTACCTGGTGGTACGCAGTGCGTATAAGGTCAGCCCCCCGTTTTTGGTCAACATTAGAGTACGCTGGGCATACTCTCTTGGTACATGGGGCGTACTTCGCTGGGATAAGATTTTGGCTTTGGACCTTGACCATTGACTATGACTTTAACCATGGTTGACCAAGTTTGACTTAAGGGTATTTTGGGTATTTCAAGCTATAGTTAAGACTTGGTCTCTGTCTGTTGAATATGTGACCTGTAGAGCCGGTATTCAGAGCAGTGTATTGTTCAGTTATTCGTCATACTGCAAGGTGAGTTTTCCTCATTGTGCTTACAGGTCAAAGGCATTAAGGCTGGCCCATTGGATTGATATCATGGTTTACTGTATGTGTAACGCTTGTTTCAGGTATCAAATTCTTTCCAGAATTTTAGGGTTCTAGACTGGGACTCGACGAGTTGGGGATTCCCAACTCGTTGAGTAGAGATCATTTATGGGACGCAGGATTTAGGACCTACTCAATGAGTTGGAAGGCCCGACTCGATGAGTAGGTGCTGTAAAGGAAAAACCTAAATTTTAGGGTTTGCACCCTATATAATCTCCTTAAAGCCTTGAGGCTGACCTTTCACCAGCCTCCAAACCCTAAGAACGTCTGTGCTA